CCAAAATGTGTCATACATCAGTTTTTAAATAAATGTTATTTATTTTCTGTCATAGAGTTTATTATTTAATTGTTCATTATTAAAAAAAAGAAGAGGATGTTAGTTATGACGGATAGAGTGATGGAGCGAGCTTAGATTGTCTCCTCGTGACCATATAAGCAGTCAGACTCTCTGTCAGATGAGCATAGCGTAGAATATCATTGTGGACACATGAAAAAGTAGATATGTTCGGCAGAACATTTTGTTTGCCTTGCTGACGACCAGTGGACATAGCACATTGGTGAATGGTATTCACGAAAAAATAAATAACAACGCGCACCAGACTAGCCGGCGCGATCATGCGTTTTGTGCAGTTCAGCCCATCGAACGATTGCCTGTTAATGTTTTTCACTGCTTTGTACTTTAGTCTATGCAAAAATAGTTGAAACATTGAAAAACAGTTAAAAATTTCACGAATCTGCGCATGAAAGCTCAATTCGAAACGATGAAGAGTGAATACCTTTCCGTGATTCCTGAGATAATAATTTACTCGCAAAAACATTCACAGGCCTATTGGTGATACTCGAGAGCGCGTGTAATGATGGATTTGAATTTGCAAGATTGTTTGTGGATAGGGGATCATAACCCTAAAATTTCAGCTTCCTAGACTCCGTAGTTTCCGAGATATTAATTTACCCGTAAAAAACTTTCACGGGCCGTACATGTTACCCGTGGCCAGGGGGAAGCTGAATTTAATTTTTCTGGGTAGCACATGGGCGGGGGACATGCCCACAAAATTTCAACTTTCTAGCTTACGTCGTTCCCGTGATAATAATTCACCCGCCAAATTTTTTACGGGGCTGTACGTATTACCCGCCGGTACGGGAAGGCTGAATTTAAATTTGCCGCATCACGCGTTGGCGTGGAATACTATACTAAAATTTTTGCCGCCTAGCTTTTGTGATTCCCGAGATTAAAGTACGGAACAAAATATGGGAAACACACAGACAATCTCGTGACAATATGCGTTTTGTAATGCCGTTACATAGCACAAACCGTATAACAAAGGGCCACTTCGACTAAATCGAATAAATCGTCAATTTTAGCGAAACTATGCAGCTGAGAATCGAAAGGTCTGAAACAGCTAAGCCCGGTGGAAGCAGCCCAGTAACATTACTAACATGAAACATCCACAAAGTTCGATTAGTTTTGATATTTTGATATTTTTTATTAGCAATTTACCCCATAAGGCATTATGCATGTGCTGATTTTTGGATTTTTATGGTTTTTTTTTTTGTCGAGGTACGCCTGGCTAGGGCTCGTTCTGAAGCATTTTGACGCGTTACTAATTAATGGTGGCTTTAGGCAGCCGAACACATTTGCACAACGGACATTATCATCACACATTCGT